AGAATCTCTAAGCTTTTTGTGAAAATAAAGAATTGTTTTTATGGCCTTTCTAAAATTGTGGACAATCCTAACATTTTATTTACTTATTAATAATTCCTATAATATCTATCCTTCTGGGTTATTTTTGAAAACCTTCATCTTCCTAGTAATTCAGAGAAGGTCTCGTTATCGTGATTAACGGGAACATTAGGGAGTGCAGGGATGAGTTCAGATAGAAGTTGTCTGCTCTATAGTTAGAGTTCGTATTTCAGAACTTCTCTCATAGGAGTTGGCTTACTATTTAGTTGAATATATTTAATTTCTTTCTATAGTATGTTGCTATTTTATACGTTTTTCTGGGTAATATTAAAAGCCATTCCATTTTATCTCATAATTGGACATTGTTTAAATATGAACTAAAATGGAAATAACGCCTCACAATGTTTATAAGTGGCATCTTTTACTTACTTAGAGGTCTGTCAGTTCTTATAGTATCTATTTTTCGCCCTAACTTCTTTTCAATGTTATATGGTCTTTTGGCTTTAACAGAATATTTGCATTCAGTACTTTGGTGTGATTCTAGTTTAAGCACAAAGTTTAATTTTAAATTCTGTGTAGCATGAGAACATATACAAAACTAACCCTAACTGGGAGCACTGGTGATTACCTGTAGTATTTTACTATAGCTATTGTTACTTGGGTTATAAAGACTCAGTGTCTTGGAATCCCATAATGTCTATTGATTCAGAATAAAAAAGAAGTATAGAAATCTCTTGGAAGATATGTGTAAGTATGATTTAATCATCGTTACTGTATCCATTTAGCCTTTCTCTTGTTGAAGGATTTTTCCTATGCTAGCCAGAGTTTGCTTTTTAAAGTACGATGTTAACTGTGTACAAGTATTTGTGTGTGCATGCTAGGAGTGGTGGCCATAAAGCTTACAGCATTCTAATTCATGGCAAATGGTATTGGCAGTTGCTGTCACATAAGAATTATTAAAGCAGGGAGAAATAGTTATAAAAATATATTTATGAAGAAAATACCAAGCAACTGTAGAATTTATAATCTTATAAATTGAAATGGATATGTTTCCTGAAGCTGCAGTTGATTTTAAAATCTGAATGAGAAAATTTATAGGTCATTTTTTTCTTAGCCCATACCTGTGATGTGAAGAATATATGAAAGGCTCCCATAAATGATAAGTGATATAGATGTATATTTAAGTATAAAACACAGATCTATCAGTTACCTGAAATGTTAGGCTACCAGAAAAAAAATTTTTTTGAATTAGCGGTAAATTGGTTCATCCAAGTTCGCAGTTTACTTTCACAACATAGGTGTGCAGACAGTTTGTTTAGATGTTTAATTTTTCCCCCCATCTGTTCTGTCAGGATTATTGATTGAGCAGTAAGCCACTCCAGGGCATACATAGCCTCCTTATAATTGCTTGCCTCGGGTGCATTGTGTGGCCTGGTGGGCAAGCTGAGAGAGGTGTCCGTGTAACCTCCTAATAAATCCTCCTGATAAAAGGAATATTGGAATGAATAGATTTTATTTTAATACCCGTTAGCCAAATAAATATTTACATTGGTAACTTTAATTGATGGTATCATTTAAAAATGTATAGCTTTTCACTTAATATCATTCTTTGAAGTGAATAACAATTCAAGAACTATTTTTTTTTTAATTCACCTGCTTGTTTTATAAATGGAAGTGTCCTCATCAGATATTATGGAATAGTAATCAGCTATTTCCAGGATATTCAATGTTAGTTTGTATTTGCTGTAACCTCCTCGAGGCTTAGGTTTTATCGTTATCAGAAGGTACAGCAGTTTCTGGCTCCTATTAGAAATGAAGCCTTGTTTGCTACTTTGTGCTCTGTTTGAGTTTTCATGTAATGTGACCTCTCATCATTTTTTAACATTTACATTTCTTTTAATGTTCCAAATCTCCTCTTGTCTGTCTTCTCTGTGTGGGCATTTGTGTTAAAGGTAGGTATAAAGTACAACTACATCTGTGGTTACAAAGGACTGTAGGGGTAAGGGAAATGCCAAATGTCTGCTTTCCTATTTAAAATTTGAGTTTCATTTAAAAGTTGGTAACGTTGCTTTTATGGAAAAGAGATACAAGTTTATTTCTTCAAGATAAATCTTTTCACTGGATTTTTTTTCAGGAGCATACTTTGATCTGCATTTATATCCAAAGTGTATGAGAAATTACATTTTAATGAAGTTGACATATGTTCTACCATTGTTGTACCTGTCCGTTATATCACTATTTATCATACCTTTCAGCCAGCCCTCACAATAACCATGAAATAAATAAACCTTTTAGCTAGAAAAAAAATTCTCAGAGGTAGCCAGAAAGAATTTACAATCCTTAAGTTAAAAAAATGTAAATTTTATATTATGTATTTATAGAAAAATAAATGCTTTGGGTAGGGAGAAAAAATTATGTTCTAAAAATAATCTGAATGAGGTTATTGGATTAAAATTGTTTAATTTGACTGTGGGATTTCCAGAGTATTTTAAAGTATTGTGTTTTGAAATAATTTAGATTCAGGAAAGAGAAAAAGGATATTGTTTAAATAGTGGGAACATATATATCCACATGTAGGATGCTATAATCATTATTATTTTTATTTCTTATATGTTTCATCTTATAGCTCTTTGGAAATAGGATTTGAATAAAAGTTTTTCTAATTGATGGTGAAGTCTCTTAGGGAAAGAGGAATGGCTTAGTTGTTAGGGCGTTTTCTCTTCAGTATTGCTTAAGTTTACATGCCAGTAAGACAATACCTTACTTCAGTTTTGTTCAATACAAAGTGATATGGCAAACAGTTCTAATTATAGCATTATTTATCTGTATATCAATTAAAGCACGTATGTTCAGAGGCAAACTCACTTATTTAGAAAATCAGTATTCATTTTACAGAGCTAAGTAAAATGTATTTTATCAAACAGAGTTTTTTTACAATGCAGTTTTATTTTTCAGTTGCTTATTTCTCTTCAAAAATAAAAACCCTCTTTTTATGTACTCACTTTCCCTTCTGGCTGCAAACCAGGTATTTAAACAAAAATAAAGGATTGCCAGTTTTGCCAGCTGGGGATGAGAACCCGGCTGGTGAAATGTGGGTTCCGGAGGCAGTTAATCCAGCTTTTATGCTTTTTATGGTTTTATGAAAAAAGAGGTTAAAAACCACATTTGGCTCCTTTTCGTGTATGCCACTGTTTTGTTGGTGTTGTAGGAATACAGTTAAAGGTTAGATTTAAATTTTTAGTTGTTATTAGTTAAAATCCTGTGTCAATTAGATGAAGGCCCACAAACGGTGTGTTCTACTAATTGGCCATGAGGTAGATCCTTGCATCGTCAGAAGTCACTGGTATTTTAAAAGTACACATGCAGCACTTCCTTTAATGTAAATACATAAGTAGAATTTCTTCTGCTTTTTTAGGTTATTTCTTGTTTTCTGTTCGTTCTCATATTACTCATTTCAAACAAGTAAAAATATGACATTCTTTTGGCTAATGATGAAAACTAGAATTTGTTCTTCTTCCAGAAAATGTTTTTCTTAGTTTGTGATTAACAAAAGATTTCTAGAAAAGCATAGAATCTAAACTTGTGTTCGTATCTTACCAGTGAAGTTTTCAGTTTTTTTAAGCCATAAAACAAACATTGATGTAATTGAATTAAAATTTTTTTCATAATAAAAATGCTTAGTGACTAAATTTTTAAGTAACATGTTCTTTTCTGATAAATTATGTCCTTGGTCTTTACCCTACCAACGTGCCTTTCATAGTATTTTTAGGTAATCATAATGTAACTGTCAGAAATACCACCTGTAATTCTGTGAGATTATTGGGAAATTTAAATAAAAGTCATATAAGAGTAATATTCAAGAAAGTATTTAATTTGAACCAAGAAAGTTTGGAATACAAGTACTACTTTCACCTTATCAAATGTTCTCTTGTGTGATCGGTTATAAGTGTTTTAAATTGATAGATTCATATAGGTGGTTTTCCTGATCTGGTTTTCCAAAGCTGAAAGGATCAAATACAGTAAGTTTTAAGATTATCAGACATAGTTTTAAAATAAAATATTTAAAGTTCCATATAGATAGGAATATTCCATTGGATGAGGAACAAATCTGAGAAAAAGATAAAACCAAATTTTTCCTGGGACAAATGGTAAGTTACTGTGTTCCCATTTGAACAGGTTGCTCCAATGGAGGTAAACAGATACTTTATATCATTTCTAACTAAACTTATTTTGCATGTAATGTATTTTGGGAAAAATTTAAGGACATATACCACACAGATAGTAAGTAAATTTTTGGCTGTAACAGAAATGTTTGTTGTGAGGTATAAAGCGGTGGCTATGAAAGGTGATTTATTACTACTCATACCATCAGCCTCTATATTCACTTTGTTGATTACATAGTTCCAGAAAGAGCTGAAACATAACAGGGACCTCTAAAGATTTTCAAACTTATTTTAATGGTTGTCGTGCCCTGTACATTTCTCCATTACATTGTCTTTCTTTACTACTGTCTTTCACGGTTTAATTTCTATTATTTAAGTTATTCTTAAAGCAGGAATGTGCAGTGCACATAATATGCTCTGTAATCAGCACACCCTAACTCGTGTGTTGTTACTTAAAGTCCACATGGGTGGAACCAGAATGAAAAAGTCAGTAGGCCCAGGAAAAAATATGTAAATATGCTAGCTAACGTTTTTCATTTGATCCTTATGTATATTCAGGTACTTGGGATTTTTTTTTGGTACGACCTGCCCCCATTTTTGGACACTGATCATTTCTGGATTTATTTTGAATATTTTACATATTTGGTGTGATTTATATTTTTTATAGGATGCTTCAGAGTTTAAATGTCAAGATCTCAAAATAGACTACCTAGGCTTTGAAAGTTAAGATTCATTTTTATGTAAAAATCTTACGTTTTATGAATAATGCTTTAAAAGTTAACATATGATAAGTAATGTTTTTCCTGCTTTCACTTTTAGGTGTTAGAAGATAATGACTATGGCCGAGCAGTAGACTGGTGGGGCCTCGGGGTTGTCATGTATGAAATGATGTGTGGGAGGTTACCTTTCTACAACCAGGACCATGAGAAACTTTTCGAACTCATATTAATGGAAGACATTAAATTTCCTCGAACACTCTCTTCAGATGCAAAATCATTGCTTTCAGGGCTCTTGATAAAGGATCCAAATAAACGGTAAGCTTCAAATAACGCTCAGTGCATTGCTGATGAGTGTGGTTAAAAAGTGAGATATGGAAATTAATTCAAATGTAACCAACTCCAAGAAGCAGTGTATTTGGTGTAGACATCTTCCTACTGAGAGTCTGACTTATTTTTGACTGCGTAACATGGAATGTTTAACAGTTTTTCTCAACTCTTTCCTAACTTGGAAATTCTATGCAGTTTTTACCAAATAAGGATTTTGAGAGTTTCATTATTCATATTATGAGTGAAAATGTCTTAATTGCTCTGTTACTTGATCTTGTGGGGATGGGAGAATACCTTTTCTTTCTTTCAGTCTCTGGGCCTTTGTATTTCTTATAAAAGGAAAATACCTATTTTTCAGTATTCTCCTCCCACCACAACCTGTGTTAACATATCTAACTGCCTGGTTTTTTTTTTTTTTTGTTCTTTTTTTTTTTTTTTGAGACGGTGTCTCGCTCTGCTGCCCAGGCTGGAGTGCAGTGGCATGACCTTGGTTCACTGCACCTTAGTTTCCCAGGTTCAAGTGATTCTTCTGTCTCAGCCTCCCAAGTAGCTGGGACTACAGGCACCTGCCACCTTACCCGGCTAATTTTTATATTTTTAACAGAGACTGGGTTTTGCCATATTGGCCAGACTGGTCTTGAACTCCTGACCTCAAGTGATCTGCCTGCCTCAGCCTACCAAAGTGCTGGGATTACAGGCGTGAGCCACCACGCCTAGCCTCTAACTGCTTTTTCATTTGTCGTTTGAAAATGCTATTTTCTCTGCATAGCTGAAAGGGTTAATGACAAAAAAAGAAGAAAATTATACACAGTTTGCATTTCTGTTTTTGTAGCTGCAGCTATGACCTAAAGAATCCTTGGGCTCTTGCTGCTTTGTTCATTGTGCTACAGGATTTTTTTGTTCATGTTCATAAATTCACTCACCTATACCTTTTATAAATCGTATGTGAAATGACTATTCATTTTAAAATGTCCCTTAAGATGTGTGTTTGTGTATGTATATATCTAGCTTCCCATCTAGGTATCTATGCATATCAGTATTTCTCTGACTCTACTCATTTGAAGCATAGATGATTTCATTTATTGTTTTATTTTCTATAATACCTCACATAGGGTTTTGTTAAAATGTTTCATTTATGCTTGATGCATGCTCTCTCTCTCTCTCTCTCTCTCTCTCTACATGAATATACACACACACACACACACACACATGCATACATACATATATATTTGTGTATACACACACATGCATGCATACATATATATTTGTATACATACACACATGCATACATACATATATATTTGTATACACACACATACATATATATTTGTATACACACATGCATACATACATATATGTTTTTATACACACACGCATACATACATATAAATTTGTATACACACGCATACATACATATATATTTGTATACACACACGCATACATACATATATATTTGTATACACACACATACATACATATATATTTGTATACACACACATACATACATACATATATATTTGTATACACACACACACACACACACACACACACACACATACACATACACTGATTGGATTGAGTGAATCCCGAAGAGTTGGATTTCTAAGTCTACCTCATAAATGGTTTTCACAGCATGCTTCTAGCTTTTAAATTTACAAGGAACATGACTTTATCTTCAACAAAACTAAGCAAACATAATAAGAGATACTGTCTTTTTGCTTTGCGAAGAACCATACAAAAAACATTTTGTAATCCTAGCTACAGATATTATTTCTGTGTATAAAGTGATTTTGTTTTCTTTTTCAGAGCACTTTCACATCTGTAACTCCTTTGATGTTTCAGTAACCTTGTTGGGTGGATAGGGAAGATACTATTCTCTTTTCCATTTGATAGAGTTGAAAACAAAGGCCCAGAGAGGGTTAGGTGACTTACTCAAGATCTCTCAGAACATTCCTACAGACCAAGAGTAGAAATCGAGTTTCTTGGTGCCTATTTGCCATTTCTTATGTGTCTTATTTTCAGTGCAACAATATCTGAGTTCAGGTTTTGAAATGTCTTCCATTTAATAGCATTCTTTTACAATTAAGTAATGAGTAGCATCTGTTGATAGGTAATCTTTAAACAGAGTGGTGGCTTTTATCTTTTTTTTTTTTTGAGTCTCTCACTAGGTTATAGTGTAGTGGTGCAGTCTCAGCTCACTGCAATCTCTGCCTCCTGGGTTCAAGCGATTCCCCTGCCTCAACTTCTTGAGTAGCTGGGACTATAGCTGGAACTACAGTTGCATGCCACCATGCCTGGCTAATTTTCTTTCTTTTTTTTTTTTTATTATTTTAGTAGAGATGGAGTTTCACCATGTTGGCCAGGCTGGTCTGGAACTCCTGATCTTGTGATCTGCCCGCCTTGGCATCCCAAAGTGCTGGGATTACAAGTGTGAGCCATCACGCCCGGCCAACTTTTATCTGTTTGATTTTTTAATCTAATATTTGGCTTGGTATTCAAGGCAGTGAATTTTTATCTCATCCTTTTCTTATTCCTGCAGGTAACTTTGACCACTCTTTACTTTGTGGCCCTTTTTATAAGTGGCTGGTAGAACAAAATATACTTGTGGTTTTCATGTGTATGTCTCATTCATTTTTTTATTTGTCAGCCCACTCCATGAATAGCACATAGTTGGTAGTTAGGAACTATTGAATGAATGTGAGGCAAATTCTTAGAATGTTAACTGCCTGGTATGTATTAATAGAACAATTCCTGTTTGTTCACCAGGAGGTTGATATTGATCTAAAGGGAAGATGCAGTATTTTCAGTGATCTAATATTTTATAGTAGATGTGTCAAGCCCTTCCACTGCTGCATCAAGATACAGGGAATACAAGAATGACTGAGATGAACCAGTCTCTGCTCTAGATGTTCACAGAAAAATTCGGGCCACAAAACATACACTCACGGATGTTCAGATCAAACTATGTACAAAGTACTGTTGAAGTTAGTAGCTTTGTCTAGGGGATTGGGGGACTTGAGCTGAATCAGGAAGGAGTTTGAATTTGCAGTGGCACTCAAGCACAGAAATTTACATGTAGAGTATAGCTAGGATTTTTTTTTTTTTTTTTTTTGAGACGGAGTTTCACTCTTGTTGTCCAGGCTGGAGTGCAATGGTGCGATCTCGGCTCACTGCAACCTCCGCCTCCTGGGTTCAGGCAATTCTCCTGCCTCAGCCTCCTGAGTAGCTGGGATTACAGGCACGCGTCACCATGCCCAGCTGCAAAATAACATGGCATTTGAGAAGTTCAGTGACTGGAGTGTAGAATATGAGTTGGCTGACATTGGGAAATGAAGCTGATACGTTAGATTGTAGGGATCTCAGCTTTCTTAGAAAAATTTAATCTTTATGCAGAAGGGGATGAGATAACTGCTGAAGTATTTGAAGCAAGGGATTGTATGATCAGACTTGTGTCATGGAAAGGTAACTCTGGCAGCTTTGCCATGGACAGATGAGATGAGTGAGGACCCAGAGGCAGGCAGAGCAGTTAAAAATGTTTATGGGGCCAGGCAAGGCACAATGGCTCATGCCTGTAATCCCAGTCTTTTGGGAGCTGTGGCAGGAAGATCACTTGAGGTCGGGAGTTCACGACCAGCCTGGACAGCATAGCAAGATCCATCTTTGTTTTAAAAAAAATGCCGGATGTGGTGACACATGCTGTAGTCCCAGTTGCTTGGGAGGCTGAGGTGAGAGACTCGCTGGAGCCCAGGAGGTCGAGACTGCAGTGAGCCAAAATGATGCCATTGCACTCCAGCCTGGACACTAGGGTGAATTCCTGCCTTTAAAAAAAAAAAAAAAAAAAAAAAAAGAATATTTATGGAATCATTCAGATGATAGATGGGGTCCTTTCTGAAGCAGTGATACACAAGTGATAAATAAATAGAGGTGAATGATTAGCTAGAAACTGTGAGGAAGTAGAAGGAGTCAGGAATGCCTCTGAGGTTTCCAGGTAGGGTGATTCACAGACGGGGAATGCAAATGAAGGAGGCTTGAATGAGGGTAGATGTTGATATTAACTTTGCATATACCGAGTCTGAAGTTTCTATAGAAAACCAAGATGGAAATGTCAAGTGAGCAGATGGAAATAATAGAATCAGTGCTTAAAAGAAACACAGTACCTGATTATATGGATTGGAAGCCATAAATATATCTAGGAGGTAGCTAGAGACAAAGAGAGTAGTGCTGAGGGAAGGTGTGAGGAGAAGAGGGCCTAGGACAGTGTCTTAGGAAACCTCAGTTTCAGGGGTAGAAAGAGGAGAAAGCCACCAAAGGACCTTGAAAAGTCTTGGGAAACATAAGGAATGATAGCATTATAATATACCTCTTCATTTTTTTTGTGCAGCTATTTTAAATACTACTGGAATTTTATTGAATTGCTGTCAGTTCTGTCAAAGGGTCAGCTATCATTTTGCTTTGGTTTCTTGCTCTCCATCCCTTATGTTCATTTTATCAATCCCTCCTTTATCTTCCTATGCAAAGTTGATAGGAAAAGCATGACCTCTTGTATTCACTAACATTAGGAAAATGCGTATTCTGTGATGTTCTTCACAGGAAAGAATTCGTAGTAGCTGAGAATTTAGTTTGGCATTCTGATACTGTATTTTAGACATAAATATCTTACTTCAAAGCATATTTTGTTATTATTTTTGAAGTCTTAAATTGTATATTAGAGAGCCATTGACACTGAAATTTTTGACAGTTTCACACATTGAGGAAGTGTGTTAAAGAATTTCTCCTAGCTTCTAAAATGGAAGTCTGATTGTATTCTTAGACTCTGCATAGTATTCATAGCTGATATTTCAGTTTTATATGTATTTGATAAATATAGAATAAATGCTGGCTATGTTCAAAACCAAAGTATTGCTAGAAAACTTGAGTTACAAAAATGGATACTAAAGCTGGATTAAAGCATTTTGTTTACAAAATGATTATGATTCTCCACTCCAACTCTCGTCTGAAATACAATTTAAATGAAATACTATTGAAATACACTATAACATAAGTGTAAGAAAATGCCATGGAGCTTTGAAATGTCTAATGCAGACTATGTTGATGTGCACTTGAAAATACTAAATGCTTTTCAGAAATGTGTTTTGGTGCTTTTGCTTCTCTGGTTCCCTAAGTACAAGCTTTCTATAGAATGCCTTTTGGATAATCCAGCACTGACCCGGCCTTCAAAGGAGTTTGCAGTCTCGTGGGAAGAAATGTAGACAATTGAAATAGAATGAAAAAGAGGGCAGGGACTGAAATGCTGAGCCCTCACCGAGTTCAGAACTACCAGTCTGAAAATTCAAATGCAAACATTGAACAGCACTATTATGATCAAATCTAAAAGTCCCATCTCTGGGGTATAGTTCATTTAGAGAATTTTATAAGGAGCTGGGAGTTGGAGACCCATCTGGTGGGAATCAGTTATCACTAAAGAAACTCAGGTATCAGCTGATTGTTTTCCATTTTGACTGTGTGTCAAAGGATCCTATGTCCTTCCCAGTCATGTATTTCTTATATCGAATAACCAGAATTCATTAGAATTATATAGTTACAAATGATTTCGGACCTACGATGGCTTGACAGTTTTTTGACTTTAGGATGGTGTGAAAGTGATGTATATTTAGTATGCTTCTCAGCTAATGATGGAGTGGCATCCTGAAAAACGCATCTTAAGTTGAAATGTAGGTTTATCTAGACGTAACCCCACTGGTAAGTTTAGGAGCATCTGTACATGGTTTTCTTCCAACCCAATATTGTGTTGGAGTTGGCATATACCATCGCACAAGAACCAGCTGTTACATTTTCAGCAATGTTGTGAGCTGGTTGTAGATGATAGTCGTTATTAAAAAATAAATTATATAAATTTTCTGATTAAGAAAGGAAAAGCAAAGGTCATAATACTCAAAATGCATCTCTCCTTAATTTGTTACGTTTCACGGTTGTCTTTATTTTCGAGATGAGTTACGTCAGCTGTATCTGTATGGACATAATAAATAATGATTTACTGTGATGCAGCTCTTCCTGCCTCCGTGTTCAGTGACATCACATTGGTAGCTTGAAATGTGCCGTGGTGGGAGAATTTATACCACCCAAATTGGCAAATACTGTGAGTTGGGGCTGGACTTATGTTTTGTTGATTATTTAGACGAAAGAGAAAATGTTAATAATGCAGATTAAATTTAAAAGTTTGTTGTTTCCATATTCATTACATTGTAAATAGCAACAAAAAAATGGGTATTCTTCCACTCTTCCAAATTTTTAACCATTTAGCAAAGAATTCACTCACGTTACTGACAAGTGAAGTCTCGAGTCTCCATTTTATGACTTTTATCTTTGACTTTAACAGAAACAAAAATGTCAGCCAGTATTCATGTTAGAACTAGTCATAAGTTATATCCAGTAGTGGCTTTGGAGTACAGTAAACATTAAGTCTTCTGTAAAAATCAGGTGACTAATTTACAATACAGAACAGTGTATATTTTATGATGTTTGTAAATTTTGTATTTTGCATTCTTTGTCATTAAAATTTAAATTTATGTGTCTAGGGTGTGGTGGTGGCTAGGCCAGGCAAGGTCTGGTCCCAGCAGCTCCATGGCTGCTCTGCTCTGAGCACCTGGCATGTCCTGTACCCTTGCAAAAAAAGAAAAGAAAAAAATTATATGTCTATAAATATACGATTGCTCACAGAGAGCTGGTTTTTAAGCATTTACCAACACACATAATTTCTAACAATGAACAAGTCCAAACAGCCTACTATGTTAAATTCAAATTTAAATAGGCTTATTTCTTCTTTCTTTCCTTGTTCTTTTTCTTTCCTTTCTTCCTGTTCTTCCTATTTCTCATTTTTCTTTCTTTTATTCTTAGTAGTATGTACTATATTAAACTGAATAAGCCAGAAAACACCTGAATTTCTTTTACCGGTTATTGTATTTGTCTGTTTTCCTACTGCTATGAAGAAATACCTGAGACTGAATAATTTATAAAGAAAAAGGGGTTTATTGGACTCACAGTCCACATGATGGGAGGCCTCAATCATGGCGGAAGGTGAAGGAGGAGCAAGGGCATGTCTTACATGGTGGCAGGCAAGAGACAGCATGTGCGGGGGAACTGCCCTTTATAAAACCATCAGATCTCGTGAGACTTACTCACTTTCATGAGAACAGCATAGAAAAAACTTGCCCCCCATGATTCATTTACATCCCACCTGGTCACTCCCATAACACGTGGGGATTATGGGAGCTACAGTTCAAGATGAGATTTGGGTGGAGACACAGCCAAACCAAATCCCTGTGTTGTGTAACCCTTGCAGTGACCCACCAGCAAATACTATTCCCCATTCTACAGAATAGAAAACTAAGGGTAAGCCTCTTCTCTGTTGTCACACATCTCATAAGTGCTGGAGATGGTTGCTTCTTTCAGATCTGTCTCCAAAGCCTCTGCTCTTTTTCAAATACCATACTGTTCTAAAGCTAGTTCTTATAAGCATATTAGGAAAAATAGATCCTACAGCAAAAGCTTTTATTTTTATAGCTATTTATCCCAAGAACTATTTTTTACACAGAAAATAACACTTTCACAAAACCATTTTTGTTGTTCTGAGCTTACGTAAATGTTTTACACTCATTTGATTTTATTTCTGTTCTCATAGCCTTGGTGGAGGACCAGATGATGCGAAAGAAATTATGAGACACAGTTTCTTTTCCGGAGTAAACTGGCAAGATGTATATGATAAAAAGGTAAGATATTTTCGTGGCATAGTATGTAAATATTTTGGCTACACTGCTAAAATGAATTTATAGTAAAAATATTTTAAGTGAATAAAAGTTAATGATGTAATGATACTTTCCATTCTGCTAACATTTTAGTGATTGATTATTGAACTTCTGTGCACAAAAGTTTTCTTATAATTTTGACTCCCCAGATACCTCTTGAAATTTTATTCAGTGTGACCACAGAATTTTTCTCTTTTTTCCATAATAATTTGTTTGCCTCTCATTATTTGTTTAATTTTTAAAATGATACGGTGTTATTTTTTTCTTTAAGAAAACTAGTTTAAAAGTTATAATTTTAAAATTTGCCCCTGTGTCTTTAATTTTAAAGAGAACACTGCAGGTTTATTTATAAAAATTCTTGTTTTAAAAGGAATTTAAAGAAATTTGTTTTTAATATTTAATGAAGTAGTAAAGACAATGTCTTATTTTGGACTTCTCTGTCATGAGAAACAGAACTTTATTGCCCACAAAATGAATACTGCTAGACCAGTCACAGTGGCTCATGCCTGTAATCCCAGCATTTTGGGAGGCTGAGGCAGGAGGATTACTTAAGGCCAGGAGTTTGAGACCAGCATGGGCAACACAGTGAGACCCCATCTCTACAAAAAACAAAAAAAATCAGCTGGATGTGGTGGTGCACTCCTGTAGCTCTACCTGGGAGGCTGGTAAGGCAGGCAGGAAAATCACTGGAGTTAGGAGGTTGAGGCTGCAGTGAGCTATGATTACATCACTGTACTCCAGCCTGGGTGGCAGAGTGAGACCCAATCTCTTTTAAAAAAAAAAAAAAAAAAGTACAAATAATATATAAGTTTAGTTTTATCATGATCTGCTTAAAACTTTTTTATATTTGTATATTTTGGAAGACAAGGTCTCTTCTGGCCAGGCTGGAGTGCAGTGGTACGAGGACAGTTTGCTGCAGCCTCTACCTCCCCAGGCTCAGGTGATCCTCTCACCTTAACCTCCTGAGTGGCTTGGACTGCAGGCATGAGCCACCATACCTGGCTAATGTTTTGGTACTTTTTGTAGAGATAAGATTTTGCCATGTTGCCCAGGATGGTATTGTATTCCTAGGCTCAAAGAGTCCTCCCTCTTTGCCTCCCAGAATGCTCGGATTAGATGTGTGAAACTTTGGGAGGCCGAGGCGGGTGGATCATGAGGTCAAGAGATCGAGACCATCCTGGTCAACAAGGTGAAACCCCATCTCTACTAAAAATACAAAAATTAGCTGGGCATGGTGGTGCGTGCCTGTAGTCCCAGCTACTCGGGAAGCTGAGGCAGGAGAATTGTTTGAACCCAGGAGGCGGAGGTTGCGGTGAGCCAAGATCGTGCCATTGCACTCCAGTCTGGGTAACAACAGCGAGACTCTGTCTCAAAAAAAAAAAAAAAAAAAAAAAAAAAAAAGATGCGTGAACCACTGCATCCACCCTTCTTGTTTTTAATACTGCAATTTTTGCTCAAGTCCAGGAACAGGAAATTATGCCTGTCCCTCCCTCCCTTTTATTTCTTTACTACCTCAGACATTGATTTTGATACTTTGATTTTCAAATGCTTGTATAAAATTTTTACCATGAAATGTTTTTCATTCCGTAATGTACTCAGAATTTTTGTGTAATTATTTTTAGTTAGTTCATCCATTTCAGTTTATTCCAACATGTCATATTTTTCTCTGAAACATCTATTAGTCAAAATCATTTATTTGGGGTCTGTTATATGCCAGCTTTTCTTCTCTGTTAACCCTTAACATAAAGATAGAATTATATGAATAACATGAGTTAGTAAGAAGTAACCCAAGTACTTCGTGTCTGTATTATGTTATTGGTAACCAGGAATATGGTGATTTTCTGTTTCTTGTAACTAGGAATTTAAAATAGGTACGTCATATTAGACACCTCTACTCGATTCAGCTCACATGCATTGAGTTTCTACTATGTATAAAGTACCGTGTTAAGTACTGAATCCCTTACAGCCTTTATGAGAAGTATGTGAGCATTAAGTGTCCTAAATGTTTCCTGGCTTCTTACAGGCAATTTTCCATCCACTTTGTATCACTGAGGATGATCCTTATGAGTTGCATGCATGTATAGGAATGGCTCCAATGAGCTATGTACTGTTTTTGTCATGTCAGTAAACTACAAAAGAACCTGGAAGAGACAAGGGTTTGCTGTGTCTCCCAGAAATCATGCATAGTTTTATTTTTAATAGCTAATAATAAGCTACAAGGAAATATCATCCCTTGTAGACACCGGATCCTGGGAGGACTTACTCCAAAAAAAAGGAAAAGAGCTATTTCTTTAAGAGACAATGGTTAAGGTACCAATGTGACACTGTAAATTTAAAGAAGGGCCAAAATAGGGACTTTCCTCAGTCCCGTGAGAGCAATAAGATTTGCTACAGAGTTTCCTTATCTCAGTGTTCAGCTGTTCATGTTAAATAAGAGTTTGGCCCGACCTGGACAAAGCTCTGAGAGTCCAACCAGTATACCAGTAAGGAAGCAGGGCTTATCCTATTTCGGCTCCATTGGGCCAGACATGCCCAGTGTAAGAGTGTTAGTAAGAGAACCAGGCAGCTGCCATGTAGGAATGGAATTAGGCAAGTCAGCAGCTCTGGCAGGGAGGAGGAGCTACCGAAACATCTTCAGATGACTTATGTAGATTAATTCGTTTAAGTTTTTTTTTTTTTTTTTTTGAGACGGAGTTTCGCCCTCGTTACCCAGGCTGGAGTGCAATGGCGCGATCTCGGCTCACCACAACCTCCGCCTCCTGGGTTCAGGCAATTCTCCTGCCTCAGCCTCCTGAGTAGCTGGGATTACAGGCACGCGCCACCGTGCCCAGCTAATTTTTTGTATTTTTAGTAGAGACGGGGTTTCACCATGTGGACCAGGATGGTCTCTCTCTTGACCTTGTGATCCACCCGCCTCGGCCTCCCAAAGTGCTGGGATTACAGGCTTGAGCCACCGTGCCCGGCCCTCAAGTTGTTATAATTATTTTTTAAAAATGGGTGCCACTTAATCTGAGCAAAAGTTTTAAATATCTTGAATAAAGAAGCACAACCAAAATATGACTGTTGCTGTAAACGGTAGATTGGTCGTGGACTGATGCCATCTACAGGCTTACTCTTGGTTTCTTATGTGACCGCCAAGGCTCTGGTGTTCTCTGCTGCCACATACATACTCGAAGGGGCAACTTCTTTATAGCAGCACTTTTAAATTTCAGTCTCTTTCTAAAAGGAAAATGTGATTGAGTCTATTTGGGTTTGTATCGTATAACAGGAGAACTTGAAATTAATTTTGAGAGCCAGCCTGATGTAAGCTGTTTTAATGAATTTAGTTAAAATTTCAGTGCTTTGGACAGTGTAATTTACTATATAACTTATAAAATAAAACATTTTAATGGGGTCCTCACATCTTTAAAATGTGTAATTTTTTGTAAAAGTCAATTCATTCCTAAGATCAGGTATTTTTGTTACATTTTTATTAATAAGGTTTGGGAAATTTGTTATTTTTGTTTATTATCACATAGTTCTTGGCTCTTTTTTCTGCTTATTGCTGCACATTGAGAGGTGATGGCACATTTAGGTATTCTGGTATCTGTTGAGATCTGAATCACTTTATAGGCAAAGTATAAAGTGAACTTATCTTAATTACAGGTAGCATGATGTACCACTCTAAAGAGCACAGTATCAAAATATAAAAGAACAAGGTTGGTTCCTAGTCCTGGATTTGCTTCTTGCTTTCTTTGTGGAAATGGACTAGTTATTTACTCATGCAAAAGATAAAATATTTTATGTACCTTCAAGCGTAAAGATTGTCTAGCAGGGTGTTTTATAGCCTGAATTTATCTAGATTACTGTCTATATAGATTTCTATATAAATTTTACACTCAGTTTGTCAGTCTAAGCTAAGATTTTGTGTGAGATTGTGTTGAATCTCTAGATAAATCTAGGGAGAACTGACCTCTGAACAGTGAGTCTTCAGATCCATGAGTGTAGTTTATTTCTGTTTATTTAGGTAGCCTTTAATTTCTCTCAGTAATGTTTTGTAGATTTCAATGTTTTAAGTTTACACAAATTTTGTTAGGTTTATCCTTAAATGTTTTATGTCTTCCAATGGAAATGATATTTAAAATTTCATTTTCACTTTGTTTTGCTGCCAGTATATAGTAATACAGTTGGTTTTTTCATATTGGCCTTTTCTCCTGGAGGCTTGCAAGAATTAGTTGTAGTAATCTTTTTTGTAGATTACTTACGGTTCTTTGCACAGAGAATCAGATCTTCTGTAAATAAAATTTTACTTCATTTCTAATCTGTATGCATTTTCTTTCTTTCTTTTGCCTTGTTATATTGGCTAAGACCTTCATTATAATGTTGACTAGTGGTAAGAGTGAATATCCTGACTTTGTTCCTAGTCTTAGGGAGAAAAGCATTTTTTACCATTAAATATGATGTTAATGAGTACATGTAGCAGCCAGATCTGGGTTTCTAAATATTCTCCGATAAAAAGAACCAAGGATCCTTGAGGAAGTGACTGATTTCAACACTAGTATGGGTAAAAAAGGGAAAAAAAAAAAAAAAAGGTGAGCCTGGAGAATTTTGTGGTGTCAGAGTGTAAGGAAGGAGCCTTTAAAAAAAAAAAAAAAAAAAAAAAAGACATGTAAAGCCACCAAACCTGAAGAGTCCTGTGGCAAAAGCTAAAACCATTTCAGTAATAAAAATAGTTTATGATCCAAAGAATACAATACATAATCATGAGACTATACTGCATAAATAAGTGATTGATTGTCTAAATAAAGTGTTGAGAGGGCCGTGTCTTTTTGACACATGAATTCTAATGAATGAATGTAGTAGAGGTAAGGAAAGTAGAAAATCACCATTAGAACTCCAGAGCAAAAACTGCTCATGCAGGATTCACCTAGGAATGCTAAAATTTGTGAGCAAAGGTTTAGGAAAGACGGTATTTCGTAGTCTCA